TGTGTGTGTGTGTGTGTGCCCAAGATCCCAAAAGGAGAATGGAGGAGAAGGGATTGCGGCGTGGCCATCCCCCCGGGGGGCAATTTCTTGCTTTCTGTCTCTCTGGGGAGTGCACGTGCCCTATAGCAAAAACCTCTAAAAAAATAATTAAAATAAAATAAAAATTTAAAAAATTGAAGCTATGTTTTTCACCTCAGGATAGTTTTAGCATAATCAGTGTATCTATTAAATTCATTTCTCCACATTTAATTGTCCACTTTTTTAAAGACAATTTTTTTCTGAGATCATTGTAATTTCATATGTAGGTATGACAAGTAAAACAGGATCCTAAAGATATCCCTTAATCCCTTTCCAGGCAATGTTAACATCTCTGATGTTTGAGAAGACATCAGAAAATCTGGGAAAATGGAAGTTTTCTCTTTTTAGGGTTTTTGCCTTAGGGCACATGTGCTCACTGGAGAGAGAAAAAGACAGCCGGAAAGTGAGAAATCACCCCCAGCAATCCCTTCTCCATTCTGGGATCTTGGGCACGTTTGTGCATGCACACAGTGTTTCAAGCTATCAGGTCCAGGACCGGAACCGCAGGTGGCCATGTGGGAGTCCAGCGACGTAACTGCTATGCCATCTGCTAGCCCCAGAAGAACACATTTCTTTTGGTGAAAAAAAAAAAAAAAATCCCAGCTGAAGTCCATGCATAGGTGTTCATAGTACATATTTTTCCATGAACTTTTTTGAAGCCCCCTAACATGTGACGTTTTGTGATTCGCTTTTTCCCCGTCACAGTTCTCTTGAGGGTTATCTGGGTTGTTGCATGCAGTAACTGTTCATTCTCTTTTATTACTGAATAGCATTCCACCATACAGAGTCTGCCACTTTGGTTAGCCACTCACCCACTAAAGGACATCTGGGCTGTTTCCAGTGCCGAGTAGTTATTGTGAATAAAGCGGCCGTAAATGTCAAGGTGCAGGGGTTTGGGTAAACACAAGACTTCCTTGGAATAAATGCCCAGGGAGCAGTGCATTTCCAGGTATAATTACATATTTAATTTTTTTATTTGAAAGATTTTTCCTCTAGGGCATGTGCGCTCACTGGAGAGACAGAGACAGAAAGGGGCCATGGCTATGCTGTAACCCCTTCTCCATTCTCCTCTCGGGATCTTGGGCACGCACGTGATCCGGCATGAGTTTTAAGCCACTGGGTCTGGGACTCGAACTGCAGCCAACTACGTGGGAGTCCAGCAACATACGCTGGTCCCTGCATGTTTAACTTGTTCAGATGGTCGTACCATTTTACGCTCCCTCAGCAATGTGCACCGACCGGTCTCCTGCGTCTCTGGCTCATGGAGCTGCTTTCCTTTTCTGGCTGCCCCACTGGTCCTGCCCTGAGTGACAGTGACGGCCCAGCCCCTCGCGGTGCTCTGAGCAGAGCTTAGCACGGTGGAGCTGGCTTCTTCCCTGAGGCTCTCCGCGTGCTGCCAACGTGGTGGTCTCTAACGACGGCTTCTACTCCCACTCCCCATGGGTAATGGCATTAACCGTGTGTTTGGTTGTCACACGTCTGCAGTGATGTGTCTTCTCTTCGTGGTTCTGCCCATATTCTAACTGGACTGTTTTCCTGTTTATGCTTTGAGAGCTCTTTTCAGTCTAGATGTTGAACTTCTCTCAGGTATGCTTTATGCAAATGTATTTCCTGACTAGTAGCTTCTCTTTTCATCCACTTCAGAAGAGCTTTCACAGAGCAAGTTTTCAGGAGCTTTTTATCAGCTTTTTAATGGGTAGCGCCTGCGGTGCTGAGTCTGAGGACGTTTTGGTTAGCCCTAGGTCCTGATGGCTTTCCTCTATAGTTTTCTAAAAGTGTCACAGTTTTCCATTTCGCAATAAGGACCCTGACATTTGAGTCAGATTTTGATTGGGTTTCGTGAAGTTTAGGTCCAGGTTCATTGGCGTGTGTGTGCGCCTATGCGCGTCCTGTTCCTCCAGTACAATAAGGTTCTCATTCTCCATGACCTCGTTTCATGTTTGTAACGAATGAGGGGCGTGTTTGTGCGACCGTTTCGTGGGTTCTCTGTGTTGCACTGATGTATGTGTCCACCACTCTAACTGTAGCAGTATAGTTAATACCAAAGTCCTGTGTATGAATTCTTCCCACTTCATGCTTTGATCAATTTTTAAAACATTGAGGTGGCCAGCAGGTGGCGTAATGGTTACGTAACTGTTCTCCCATGTGTTTGAGCACGGTTCAAGTCCCAGACCCGGTGGCTTAAAACTCAGGCCAGGCTCACATGTATGTGTGCCCATACCCTGAGAAGAGAATGGAGAAGAGATTACAGCATGGCCACCGCCCACCCCGGGGGTGATTTCTCTCTGTCTTTCTGTCTCTCTGAGTTGACTGTACATACTCTATAGCAAAAAAATCTCTCTCTCAAAAAAAATATGTATTTAACCAGTCTTACATCTCTGGAATATATCAATCAATCATAATTCTTTTCATATATTTCTGATTTCTTTTTTTCTTTTTCTTTTTTTTAGTTTTGCTATAGGGCATATGTGCCCACTGGGAAAACAGAGAGAAGGAAAGTGAGGAGTCACCCTCCCGGGGAATGGCCACACCACAATCCCCTTCCCTCTGTTTTCACAAGATTTTGGCCACATGCCTGACATGTTTTTCAAGCTGCCAGGTCCAAGTCTTGAACCATGCAGTTAGCCATGTGGGATCCAGTGGCCTTAACCTTCATGCCTGTTGGTCCGATAGTGCTGATTTCTATTTAGTAATTTTTTTTAATGATTTCTGCATCAACATTCAAGAAAAATGTTGCTTTAGAATTCTCTTTGGTTGTACAGTGTTTGGTTTTGATATCAGCATAATAATAGCTTCAGAAAATAATTGGCTGGCAAGTATTTCCTTTTATTTTCTGGAGGCGATTTATTCATTTGTATTCTTTTAATGTTTGATAGATCAGGCAACAGAAGGAAAAATTAACAAGCGGGACTACATCAAACTAAAAATTTCTGCACAGCAATAATTGACAAAATGGATTAGATCATATATCTAATCAGGGAATAATATCTAAAATATATATATAACAACTCAATTTATTCATTTATTGATTTGAGAGATTTTTGCTACAGGGCATGTGCACTTGCTGGAGACAGAAAGTGAGAAGTCACCCCCTGGGGGGGATGGCCACACTGCAATCCCTTCTCCATTCTCTCGGGATTTGGGGCATGCATGCAAACACACATGCCCAGTGTGAGTTTTAAGCGGCCAGGTCTGGGACTTGAACTGCCATCAACTACATGGGAGTCCAGCAACATAACCATTATGCCACCTGCTGGTCCCAGGAATTCACAATTTAATAGAAAAAAAATAATAACTTCAATGGGCAAAAGACTGGAGTAGACATTTCTTCAAAGAATACTTACAAATAGTCAATAAGTATGTAAAAAGACACCCTTATTTTTTAAAAGAAACAAGATTATTTTTTAGCACTTTTAGGTTCACCACCAAACTGAACAGAAGATGCAGATAATTTCCATCAGCCACCTGCCCACACACACGTAGACTTCCCCTTATCAACGCCCTGCTAAGTAGCTTATTTGTTACAACTGATGAGCTCACATTGACACACCATCATCCAGAGACCGTAGGTTACATAGGGTGTATTCCATGTGCTGCTCGTTTTATAGGTCTGGACCACCATTTTGTTGTTATACCAGAGGGCAGAGGTGTTCACCAGAGAGCCAGGGAAAGATGGAAGTGAGAAAGCACCCCTTCACTGGGCATGGTCATGCCACAGACCCTTCTCCATCTCCTCCCTTCTTTTGGGATTTGGGGCGTGCACACTCACACGCCTGGCTTATTTCTCAAGCCACTGGGTCTGGGACTCAGTGCACAGGCAGTCAAGTGAGAGTTGACCGCCTTGACCACCACACCACAGGCTGACTCAGTCTCGGCGGGTTCATGATGACATATAGCCACCATTTTAACACCATTCAGAGTGGTCGTGCTGCTCTGGACACCCAGCGCTCCACCTCATCCCTTCCTCCCCAACCACTGGTGACCTCCCTGCTTCATGCTGGTCTTTTCGCTATCTCCATTCTTGTACCTCTTCCAGAATGCCCGATACTGGGAACCAGTGCCGCCTCTCACTCTGGCTTCTCCCACCCGTAGTATGCACGTGGGGCTCCTCTGTCTTTACTCATGAGTTGGCTACTTGTTTCTTATTATTGCTCAACAATATCCCATGGTCTGAGTGTACATAGTTACCCATTCACCTGCTAAAGAACACCTTGCGGCCAGCAGGCAGCGTGGTAGTGACCGCGATGGACTCCCACACGGCTGACTGCAGTCTGAGCTCTGGATCTGGCAGCTTGAAACTCCTGCCGGGCACGTGTGTGCCCAAATCCCAGAGGAGAATGCAGGAGAAGGCACTGCTGTGTGGCCACCCTCCCAGGATGGTTTCTCACTTTCCCTCTGTCTCTCTGGGGAGCACAGTGGCCCTAGGACAGAAAACAGAAAAGGTATATTGGCTGGTTCTGAATTCTGGCGACCATGAACAGAGCTGAGCATGTGCACGGGTTTTAGTGCGCACTCTTCCCGCAGGGTGGGTGTTCTCACCGGAGAGGGACAGAGACAGGGAAAGTGAGAAAGCCCCCGGCCACCCCAGGGAA